TGATTGCAACAATTCTTTACCAAGAAATACGTTTATGACAAAATTTTGGAAAATGGGCGTAGTACCGCCCACTTGTGATCACATATATGTATCTCGCTAACCGTTCTAGCAATTTGTACCAAGCTCGGTATGGTTATTGTGCTTGCCACATAAAAGCAAACCGTTGAAAATTGTTGAAATCGGACTAAAATTGAGGCCGCTTTTCATATAACGGTAAATCTCAGAAATGCTTGAAATTTCAATATTTCGAAATTTAAGGACGCTAATTTACTTAAAATGTATACACCCCGGCTTATCATGTAGCGGTAGCTTTCGGAAAGGTGGAAAACATATATTTAATACTTGCGCCGGGTATTTAATGTTCGGCTCCGCCCGAACTTAGACTTTCTTACTTGTTTATTATCACTTAATTCTTAAAATCCAAAGGCAGATCATGATAAAATATGTATATCGAATTGAAGATAATAGATTTCTAAATAATATAAATTTCTTTACCATTAATCATGCAGTTTTTTCCAAAAAGGTTTTTTCATGAAAAAATTCGTTCGTTTTTTAGTGGTTTTGGTTTAAATATATAAAAAACAATTTCAATTGTGTATATCAGCTGAAAGATATAATCTGATTATTTTTATGGTGACGTTATTAGTTTTTTAATCGGTAATGTGGTTCATAAGATATTAATATTTAAAAAAATTTAAAAATTTAACTCTAACCTTCTAAAACGTCTTTATATTTTACTTGCGCTAAATAATTTTGGCATGGTTGAAATGAGCGTGAAAAGTTCTATTGATCTGCATTTTTCGTTTTTGCATAGCTGAACGGTCGCTATTCTAGATTTGTTCCAGGAAATGACGAATAACTTAAATTAAAAATCTATATTTATACGTAAACCAAATATATTGCAAATTCACATAGAATTAATTATACACATTTTACTTCTAATTGTATACTTTGTGCACCTTTTCAGTACCTTTCTACTACCGTTTTCGCAAAAGGCGATCACATTCTTCCCCTTTCTCCTACTTCCAAAATACAAATCTGGATAAAGGAGTGTCAGATTTGAGCTGTCACAAATTACATAACCTTGTGTTATTGAATCATGGTGTAGACCATGATAGAAATGTTTAAAGGAAAAACTGCTCGCTCAATTCGTCCGCCATTGGGCTTTTTTTGACGTTTGCTGGAATTTTGAGTTTTCTCTCTCGAAATGATTCAAATGTCAAATAAATTCGAAATAAACAAATGAAATTTTATGATTTGATTTTTTTTTTATTCAAATGTGGGTAAACTTATAAATTTAGAGAAGAAAAATGAGTTGCTGCTTTAAGGGCTGCGAAAATTCCGTTGTCCTCTGCAAGCAAAGCAATATGAAGCTTTTTAAGTTCCCGTAATTACCGTATAAAGGAAAAAATTGATCGAGGTTTGTGGTGTTATGAAAAGGGATTTGCCAAATTGCCCCTATGTATGCTCGGCTAATTTTTTGCCACATCACTTGACTTAATGGGCACGTTCAGAAGGTGCAATCGCAACAGCGGGTTGTTTTGTACTTCTGATCAACTGAACAGTTGCGTGTTAGATGATCGTAATATTTTTCTGATCATTTGAGACAACGTGTTGTGTGTTTTGAATTTAACAGCTAATGTATCAAGCCGTTCAGAAGACGCATTACGATCATTAATTTTTTTAGCAACGGTTGCGCTCAACTTCTGCACCTTCTGAACCTGAGCAAAAGATGGTTCTTTGGAAAAGTACAATATTTTTAAATGTATGCCAAAATCTTCGATTTAACATGAGGGCAGAAGTTCCTTATACACAATTGCTTACATTTATTTATTTACATACATACATATGTATGTATGCAGATTCAAACTTTTTTGTTTCGACAGAAATATATTTATTTGGTTTGAGTGAAAATAAAAACAAACAAATGAAATGACGGCGAGAGAAAATTTAAAAAATGCTAGCAAACGTCAAAATTTCTTAAGCTGGCTCTCAGCGATTGTGGCAAAAAATAATTTTGTTTTTTAAAAACCGTACTTTTTTCAATCTGTACGAATTATAAATTGATTGCTAAAGGCTGGTATGCAGCTCTCAAGAAATCGGTCAAGAAAAATTTGCCATTATTTCGTGTGTGTGTCCAAGGAATTTTGACATTTTTGATACTTCACATCCTGTTGCCTCACTCTTTCCTCAAGAAATAATGGAACGGGCATATATTTCTGTTGCAAACCTGGGTTGCCTTGTGCTCTTTTTTCACAAAAAAACTTTAGAAAACCGTAGTAAAAAGGGTAGCAAATTTCTTATGAACTGCGTACTGTCTGAAGGAAATTTGACTCAAGAAAATTTCTTAGCCATTTCTTGTACGTCATTTTGTATGGAATTTTAGCTTTTCTTGAGAACTGCATACAGGCCTTAAAAGAAGTTCAAGGCAAGAGAGAATACATATCTGCCAACCAACGCTATTACCTTTTCACCTTTTCCAGAAAGATTTCATATCGTTCCGCTGGTGTGGCTCTTTTCAATTGGATTTGTGGCTGCTGGCTTTGCACCGCTACGTTTGTTGGCTTTTTACTTGGCTTCTCAATGCATTTGCCATTCCCCAAACGCCTAGCGCTCTTCTCATCGCCGCTATTGATTGGCATTGGCATTTTATCTGTAGCAGCATCAGCATCAGTGCGTCTCTTGTCGTTTTTGTTGAGTCCCGCTTCATTATTGAGTGCGCCAATATTCGGACAGTCCTTCTTTGCGGTTTCAGCATACAGCTCCTGCTGTCGGCAATCTTCCTCTGCGGTGGTCTCGTTGCTTTGGCCATTCTTCGTGTCATCATCCAAAGTAGCCGGGTGCATAACATTTGGCCAACTAAAATTCTGATTACGCAGCTCCATTAACCAGGTCAGGCTGGTAAGCTCACGCTCATCGTCTGATTCATTCATAGCGCCATTGGAATGACAAGACATTGTCATTAATTTTCTTATTTTCGTATCGAATTTAAGTAGACTTATTGTAGACTTCTTTATTGTAATATTTGGTTACAGTCCTCCGATACGCTGCTGGAATACGTAAATCGTAAGTATTCATTACAGACACAGCAAATGAGCTATTTGGCTCGCAGAATTTAGCATAATATATGAATTAAATTATTCTCTATATAAGTAGTAATATTAAACCAACAATTACTAAGGTCTCTTACACCCTTATTTAGATAATCACATTATAAACGGGGTGAAATATTTTACAAAAATATTAAGTGAAAAATTTTAATGACAGTCAGCCTTAGTAAACTCCTATGCTTAACAGTCTTTTAGAATATATTAATCCACAAACAACCATTTTAGATAAGTTCTTCAAATAACTGCCAAAAAGATCCAGAACGGAAGGAGTTATTTATTAAATGTAAAACAACAGTACAATTGTTATTGCACAGCAAAAGATGAAACTAACAATTTGTAAAAAAGGGAGGTGTTAGGCAGTGTTGCCGTTTTGATACATATGTATCCAGTTGGATACATTTTCGCATTAAATTTTGAGGGATACTTCGTTTTTTTTCCTCAGTGTAAATTTGGATACCTTTTCCCATAAATATTCGTAAGTTGAAGGAAATGATTTTTATGTTTTATTGTCCAATCAGTTCGTAATTTATTAAATATTATGTTACCAGGCTAGTTTGATCTATGTTTTTAGTGCGAACATTTAATAACGCAAACTAGTTTGCAAATTTTAAAAAGTTTTCCGACCTGTAGTAGTTAACTGTAATGCAAAAAATCAACTTTTACATCCCGGGCAAACCCGTAGTTGTAGTCAGTATTTTCCCATCCTTAGACATGGATTTGGGAAACAAAGGCCCATAGTTATAGTCAAAATGAAGTCGACACTAAAGCTAGTCGAAGCTTTTCCAATTAAAAAACCCATTGAACATTATGTCAAAAAGCTGCAATTAACTTTAGAGTCCATTTAATTATGACTATAACTACGGGCCTTTGTTTCCCAAATTGTTATTGAGAGAGGACAGTATCGATTTCTTAATGCTGAAAACCGGATCTGATATATCAAACGTGCTGGAATTAGAGTTAAAATCCTGGCATAAGCAACGGAGTGGGTCGTGCAATTCAAAATTAGTTTTACAAGCTTTCAGAAATAGGGGACAAAAGTGTCTTGATACCCGGGAGGGAACATTAAGGCTAACTTCGCCCAGAAGAAGCGGACTTGAAATTGAGCCTGTTAGTAATTTAACTATAGAAATTGCACCAAGCATTTGCCTGCGGCTGGAAAGTGTAGGAAGATTAATAAGTTTTAATCGGCTCGTATAAGGTGGGAGGTTATATTGAGAATCCCAACGTAAATTTCTTAAAGCAAAAAGTAGTAATTGTTTTTGAATTGATTCTATCTGGTCTGAGTAAATTTGATACCTTGGATTCCAAACCACCGAACCGTATTCCAGAATTGGCCTAACTAATGTTGTAAACAGGGTTTTAGTGATATAAGGGTCACAAAATTCTTTTGACCATCGTTTCACAAATGCAAGTACACCTTTAGCCTTGTTGACTGTCACATTAATATGAAGATTAAAATAAAGCTTAGGATCCATTGTGATACCAAGGGCCACAAAATTGTATACCTGTTCCAGGTTATGGTTACCTATTGTCTAAGAAGCGGGATGAACAGCTCTTCGCGAGAAGCACATTACTTTACATTTCCTAAGATTTAGAGGCATACGATTTACTTGACACCAGTAACCCATGCTGTTTAAGCCTGATTGTAGCAAAGACCTTTCATTAATTTAAACGTACATCATCTGCATACATTAAAATTTTGGAAAATTGTATATCTGTAGAAATATCGTTTATAAAAAGCAAGAACAGAATCGGGCCTAGGTGGCTACCTTGAGGGACTCCTGAAGTAACATCAATGACGTCAGAGATAGTATTTTTAAACATTACCCTTTGTGATCTATCATAGAGGTATGAAGAGATCCAACGTAGAAAATTAGGTGGAAGACCAAGAAGATCAAGTTTATAGATGAGCAACGAGTGGCACACTTTGTCAAATGCTTTACTGAAGTCAGTATATATAACATCAACAGTTTTGCTTTCACTAAATGCTTTTGAGATATAGGATTAATTCAAGTAAATTTGTAGAAGTTGATTTGCCCTTGCAAAATCCATGTTGACTATATGAAATGCTAGAAGAGATAGAATGCGTCAACTGATTTGTTATAATTGCTTCAAATAATTTAGGAATTGCAGAAAGTTTAGCTACTCCCCGGTAGTTCTCCACTGAAGATCTGCTACCGCTTTTATGTTGTTGAAAATTGATGAGCGTTGGCAACAATCATTTGTTCCTATTTATCACTTTGTTCTCTTTTACACTTTATTTACTCACACACATTCACACTTTTAATGTTGAATTCTCTTCATAAATGAATTGTACTGAAACTGAATTTAGTATTAAACCACAAGCCGAAACAGTCGCAAGACCGGGCAAAATCTAAAAGCGTATTTCAATTAATTTTTACATGGTGCCGAAACCCGGGACAGAAGCAATTCTTTAAGTAAAAAAGAACGGATTTAGAATTAGCTTACGGGTGATACCGGTTTAATACCCAGCGTTTTCAAGTGATTTAATAACACGTTTGAAAAAAAAGCGAATAAATGGACAGCGTATATAGAGCAGCGTGCAGGACGCAGGTTACCAAATTATGTAACACAATTACGGAGTATTTGAAGACTTTTACAATAAGTGCATACGCCGACGCGAGTGACGCTTCTACGGTAGAAAATACGGTGGTTACATACCTACAGCGTTTGAAAAATGCACACACAAACCTCAAGCGGGCAGACGAGGCCATGCGCGCCAGCATTAAGGCTGAAGATCTCCAAAGGGAATGTGAGAGTGTAATCGAATATGATGACAAAGCTGTGACCGTTATTGCGCAATTGGAACACGTGTTGAACACTCATTTCAAAGCTAACTCTGGGGAGATAGATGGACCCACCAACGGACATGGCGCCACCTTCGAGGAGGTTAGGGAGTGTAACGGCGTTAGGTTAAAATCGTTCGAATTGAAGAAATTTGACGGGAAATTCGAAAACTGGCTTCCCTTTTGGGAACAGTTTAAGCGTGCAGTACATGAAAATCGCAAATTCTCAGCAGCTACTAAATTTAATTACCTGAACGGGGCATTGGTTGGCCAAGCAGCGGCAACGATAGCCGGATTTACGCCAACTGAGTCTTGTTATTCAGATGCTGTATCGCTTCTCTTGGAAGAATACGGCAATACCGAAAAAATTGTGGAGAAATACCTCCAGAAGTTGATTAATTTGAAGGTTGTGCATAATTCCAGTGATGTTCATGCACTACGTCAGTTGTATAACGAAATTAGTGCTATAATTAGGTCACTTAGCGCGCTGCGAGTACCATCTCATCAATATGACATAGCGGCCAAATCAGTATTGCTTAATGTTTTACCTGCAAGCCTGCGTGTACAATATCACAGAGTTGGTGGTAAGGGTTCACTCTGTACCACAATGACTGACAACATCAACAGCACAGCGATTGAGAATATTAACGCAGCGGAAACTGACATTGCCCACCATAAAGATGATAGTCTAAAATCCCTCCTTGAATTTATTAAGGTGGAGCTTGAAGCCCTTGAATAGGCGAAGTTGTCCGAGCGAGATAAAAGAAGCGATGAACGGGATCAAAAAAGAATTTCACGCGCAAATCAAGGTACCGCTACCACTCTTTATGCTAACGGAAACAGTAATCCACAATGTATATTTTGCAAGAGCGCCAGTCACAGCACCAAAAACTGCACTAGCAACATGAGCGTCGAACAAAGAAAGCAGTTGCTAAGACTAGAGAGTAGATGCTTTCGATGCGGGCATAAGAACCACAGCTCCAAATTCTGCAGAGCGCAGTGGGTAAAATGCAATGGATGTAGCGGTAGGCACCTTACGCCCATGTGTGAGCAAGCAAAAGCCAGTGAGAAAAATTTACGAATGAGCGATCGAATCGACACTAAAAAGCAAGGAGGTAATAGTAGCGTTACGGGAGCACAAGCTGCCTTGTCAAACTCTTTAGCCGGAACAGCGACTTTGAATACCATGTCGGCAGAGCAAATTGACATATTCCTGCAAACTGCAAAAGCTGTCGTTAGTGACGTCACTAACAGCGAACGGGGGCTAAGCAGATTGGTTATGGACAACGGCAGTCAGCGCACTTACATAAGTGAAAAACTAGCGAATTTCTTGAAGTTATCGGCGAGCGGCATTGAAAAAATGAGAATTGTAGCCTTTGGAGATAAAAATACCCACAGGCAGCCGACTGACTTCAAAAGTGTTCAACTTAATATTAAAGGCCAATACAGCGGAAAAACAAAGACAATTACAGCTATCGTTGTGCCTAAAATTTGTATTGATGTTTTACCGGTACCGAAAATAAGAAGTGAAAAACTGAAATATTTAAAACTTGAATTAGCTGATACTAGCATAAGTGGTGAAAATCCTGTTGATGGTATTAACTTATTAATCAGTCAAGACCACTTTTGGCAATTTACTACGACCGAAAGCAAGCGTATATCTGAAAGGTTAGTTGCGGTTAAAACACTGTTTGGTTGGACAATACAAGGATGTAGTAGTAACTTAGCTGTAGACAGTTGTGTACTAAATATATCCGATAGCGTGGGCCATGCGTTCGATATCTCTAATTTTTGGAGACTAGAATCGGACGGTATTACAAATTTCCAATCTAATGAAGACCAATCTGTTGTTGGAAAAATCCGATTAAGCATAAATCGAACTAACGGGCGCTACGTAGTCAATCTGCCATGGCGTATTGGCAGCGGCGCATTAGCCGATAATAAGCAAGTTGCTCTCTCTCGTCTTCGTAGCTTAACGACGGGCCTGCTAAAACAAAGCGACAAACTTTACGAGTATGATGCAGGATTTAGAGAGCTGTTACAGAACGGATTCGCTGAAGCTGTTGACGGCACAACTTCTAGTGGAAAGATCTACTACATGCCGCATAGACCAGTGTATCGATAAGAAAAAATTACGACGAAAATGCGAATAGTATTTGATGCCTCGTCAAGTGAAGTCGGACTTTCTTCTCTAAACGAGCATCTTAGTGTAGGCGACAATTTGGTGGCGAATTTGTTGTCTACCTTGATAAAGTTTCGCTCGAACCCTATAGCTTTAACAGCGGATATCGAGAAAGCGTTTCTGCAAATATCACTAGCCGAAAGTGACCGTGATTGCCATCGGTTTTTTTGGTATGAGTCAACTCCTAAAGTCAATAGCGTGTTACCATCAATAACCGAATATCGAATGGCCCGAGTTACTTTCGGCGTAGCTTCAAGTCCTTTCCTACTAGCAGCAACGATACAGACGCATATAGAGAGCTGTAGAGATCAATATGGCGTGATCTGCGACAAGCTAAAAGCTTCGTTTTACGTTGACGATCTGGTACTTAGCCTGCCAAACCGTAAATCGGCTGACGACCTTTTTCAAATGGCGAATAGCATAATGGGCGCTGCCAATTTCAACTTGCGTAAGTGGAATACCAACGACATTTTACTAAAGGCCTCTTTTTCCAGTTGCAAAGCGTGACGAGTGTACGAAGCCTAAGGTGTTGGGCATAAATTGGTGCACAATCACGGATGAGCTCAGCGTCGAATTGGCAGGAATTGTTGAATATTTACGATCGTTAAGAGGCACCAAACGGAATGTAATGAAGGCGATGGCAAAGATCTACGATCCCTTAGGAATGCTTTCCCCATTTGTCGTTCGAATTAAAATATTGCTGCAAAGTGTGTGGAAAGCGAACCTTGACTGAGATCAAACTTTGGATGCAGATCTGTTGTCAAGCTTCCAATGCTGGCAAGAAGAGCTGCCAATACTAAGCGGACTGTGTATAAAGAGAAATCTCACAACGTACAGCACAGCAACAAACGAGATGCACATTTTTGCAGATGCGAGCCGAAAAGCGTATGGAGCGGTAGCATACCTGCGGCAAATTTCTCCTGATAAGGAAATAGTGACAAATTTCATTTGCTCAAAAAATCGAGTAGCGCCTCTTGAGAAGAACTCAGTAAACAGCGAACTGAGCTTACCGAAGTTAGAGCTGACCGCAGCCCTGATGGCGGCCAGACTCAAAGCATTTTTAGTTGAGGCTATTGATTGCGATGTTTATGCGACATACATGTGGACGGATTCTACAATTGCTTTGAATTGGATAAGAGGCTGCGGAAAGCAGTTGAAGCCTTATGTCAAGGCGAGAGTGAACGAAATAAACAGCCTGACGAATATATATGAATGGCGCCACTGCGATGGAAAAAACAACCCCGCTGATTTGATTACCAGAGGTATTAAAGCCAAGCAGTTAGCAGAATCAGTATTGTGGAAGTATGGACCAGCCTGGCTGCTAGAAGAAAAAGCATGCTGGCCAACAGGCTGTCAAGTTGAGCGACCGACGTGCTTGGTAGCTGTTGCAATAAAAGACGATAGCGATACGTACAAACCTATTTTGCAAATCGACGATTTCAGCAGTATGAAGCGTCTGCTACGAGTGACTTCGTACATTTTTCGGTTCCTGAACGCTATCAAAACGAAACATGTGCGCGAAAAATGCCGGAGAGTTAAATCTGTCGCTGACGTTGACGAGCTAACTTATAAAGAGTTGAAAGAGGCTGAGTGCTACTGGATAAGGGATGCTCAAAGGGGTGATTACGAGAAGGAAATCGGCGCATTGCAAACAGGGCTTGTTAATCTCATCTGATTCAAAGCTTTTGACTTTAAATCCAATACTGGAGAATGACATACTGGTGCTCACAGGAAGACTGCATGGAGTTGAATTTGGTAATAGACATACTAACCCAATTATTCTTCCAAAGCATTGTCGTTTTAGCCAGCTGATAATAATTGAGGCGCATAAAGCCACTCTACATGGTGGCGTTAATGCAGTTTTGTCGCACATTAGAAAGAAGTTTTGGATAGTTCAAGGTCGGCAGCTGATTAAGAACATTCTTCAGCGTTGTGTAATATGCAAGCGCCTATACGGCAAAAGCGCGTCAGAACCGTGGACGGTTTTACCAGCCGAACGAATAGCAACGGCTAGGGTTTTTGAAACCACTGGTGTGGATTTCGCCGGCCCACTCTACGTAAAGACTGATGGAGACGACATTCGTAAAAAGGTCTACATAATGCTGTTTACTTGCGCAGGAATTCGCGCGGTGCACTTGGAGTTAGTTGCTGACATGACCGTCAATAGCTGTATCGAGGCTTTGCGGAGGTTTATAGCAAGGCGCGGTACACCCAAAATCATAATCTCCGATAATGCTAGAACATTTAAAAGAGCGGACCTGGAGCTCCGAAAACTTGAAGAACTGGTGAAAAAGAAGGAGGTATTACAGCTGGCTGCACATAAAGGTATCACATGGAGATACATCCCTGAGAGAGCGGCATGGTGGGGCGGTTTTTGGGAACGCCTGGTGCGGTCGGTCAAAAACGCTTTAAAAGCATCAATTGGCAGAGCGGTGCTAACATCAGAGGAGCTTAGAACCTTACTTACCGAAGTCGAGAGTGTAGTAAACGCCAGGTCGCTAACGTATATTACCAATGACAATAAGGACTTGGAGCCACTTACTCCGTCGAATTTTCTAATCGACTGCAATTCAGCTATTTTGCCTACAGATTTTCAATCTGACGGGTCGACGATTTCACAAGCCTGGACGCTACGTCAAGCTTTACTGCGGCGCTATATGAAGAGGTGGCGCGAAGAATATCTGCAACAACTTCGCTCCATTCATCACAACAAGAGCGCAGCGTCACGCAGGATAGGGATTGGTGACGTAGTTTTGGTGAAAGATGACAACAAACCTCGCCTTCAGTGGAAGCTAGCAGTCGTGCAGACGACGTACCAAGGACGAGACGGGCGTATTAGAGTATGTGACGTACGAATGCAAGGTCAGTAAGTGCTTAGGAGGCCAATTCAGTTACTCTACCCTCTGGAAATTTCATCATCGATTGCCGGGCCCGAGGATGTTGAAAATTGATGAGCGTTGGCAACAATCATTTGTTCCTATTTATCACTTTGTTCTCTTTTACACTTTATTTACTCACAATTACACTTACACACATTCACACTTCTAATGTTGAATTCTCTTCATAAATGAATTGTACTGAAATTGAATTTAGTATTAAACCACAAGCCGAAACTGTCGCAAGACCGGGCAAAATCTAAAAGCGTATTTCAATTAATTTTTACATATGTAACGTGGTTATGTACGACTCCTTCCATATAGTTGGAAAAACGCCCTCTTTAAGAGACAAATTAAATAACACTGTTAACGGCTCATAGACATAATCAGCACAATTTATAAGAATACAAGTAGGGATCTGGTCAGGACCATAATTGAAGGACTGCTTTAAGGATTTCAAATAAACTACGACATAGTTTAAAAGGATAGTCAATGTTAGCATGTGAGTTAGTGGAATAATTGGATTTAGAAAACTGAGCGAACATGTTAGAAATTGTTTGATTATCACTAGAGACGGTATTTTAATACTTCATGGCGGAAGGAAACCCACGTACTTTTCGCTTGGAGTTTACGAAGTCATAAAATGATTTGGGATTATATATTATACGCCGTTTGATTTTACACAAGTAAGCTTTTTAACACTTTTTGTTTAATTCAAAAAACTTATGACGCAAAAGTGAGTATTTTACATAGTATGAGTGTAAACCGGTTTTTTGTGTAATCTAAAAGAACGTGACTTTCTGTTTTTCAAATTTCTCAGTTCTTTAGTGAACCATAACTGTGTTTGTTCGTCAGGAACATACATGCGTTTAGGCACACACGGTGGGCAGGAAGCAAAGATAGGTTGCATAAAAATGTCGACGAAAACTGAAAGCAGGGTTGTATTTGTTGATATTTTTAGGTTAAGAATCCCTTTGAATTGAAATCCTAGCTGCTCCTGTTTTAAAGATATCCACATTTTACATAGTTATGATAGGACCGACTTTTGCGAAAGAGAAAAACATCCTTGTGAATTAAATATTCAACAATGTATGTGTGAGTAAATGTGTGTATATATATTATGTGAAAATATAAGTTTATGTAAGTTTTTAGCCGGTTTCAATCGTTTCCAAGGCGCACCACGTAGAGGCAACTTACTTTGCACCTCTTTGTTCTTTTTTTGGTTTTTTTGGTTTTATTTTTTTATATTTTTTTCTTGCTTTATTTTTTTATATTTGTTTTTTGTTTCCTTTTATTTTTTTTGTTGGCTTACCATATAATACAGTCATGCATTTTAGTATTTAAATATTTTATTATTTAGTTAAGTTTTTATATATGCTGGAATGAAAATGTCATTACAGTTTTCTTCAGACGACTCACAAAAGTTGGTGTATCAATCATATTTATTTTGAATCTATTCCAGAATTTAATGAATTCCCTATGAACTGACTTCCCGGCCTGCTCGGACCATAATCCCAAACCATCGTTATTCAAGAATGAAATAGATTGCTTTAAATGTTTAAGGATAAAATGGATTTTGACAGTTTGAGAAATTCCAGTACTTTTCAAAGCTGTGCGGAGTTCGTTAAGATTTTTATCAAAATTACTAAGATCCGCTTGTTTTGCGGAAAACCATGTATTCACGATTTTGCTCATGGCTTTGAACGAGGCAATATATTTGGTATTGTTTTTACTGAGAGTTTCTTCCATACAAACTATGTTCGACATTTTTTTGTATGTGGAAGACACTGTCAGCAAAAAATAAATAATTGCAAAAAATCAACGAAATTTTCTGGTAACTTCAGACTTGCACTTTACTAATTGGCTCAAAAGCTACATTTTAAACATTTTTCTAAAAGATCTGATTAGAAATTGTGATCAGATGAAAGTGTCTCCGAGCCAATAATTTTGTACGGCACGGTACTTATAAGTAATCTAGGTTTCACGAAAAAAAAAACAAATACAAGGTAACATTAAAATATCAGTCATTTGTTTCGTTGCTGTGAGCTTGTTTCAAAACTTCTGGCT